TCGATGACAGCGGCTCCATGCAGTTTGAAGAAAATGGCGCCCGTTATCAAGGACCTCAAATTGATCCTCAGCCGTGTCACCTACGCCGCAACACTGTTCGACGATGACGGCATCCAGATTCGCTTCATGAACTCGAATGAGCAGGGAAATAACATTCGCAATGAACAGCAGATCGAACACCTCATCAGCACCATTAGGTTCTCGGGCTTGACTCCGATGGGCACCAGCCTGAGGACTAAGGTCTTGGAGCCGTTGGTGCTCGGGCCTGCTAGAAGCGGTCAGCTGAAAAAACCTGTCTTGGTCATCACCATCACCGATGGGCAGCCTGCTGGAGAACCAAACGGTGCGGTATCTGATGCTATTAGGTCTGCGAGCGCGGAACTGAGAGCGCTCCCCCAGTATGGGCCTGGAGCCATCTCGTTCCAGTTTGCGCAGGTTGGGAATGACTTGAAAGCGCGTGAGTTCTTAGGCAAACTTGACGAGGAGCCCGGTATCGGTGACCTCATCGACTGCACATCCAGTACGTGCCAACTAATCTTCGTATTCCCAATCCTGACGAACCAAATACATCATCATCACCTATACTAACAAAAAGGGTTAACAAAACAGACTTTGAAGTGGAGCAGGATGAAATGTCCCGTGCCAACCCACCAGTTGACCTAACCCCAGAACTCTGGGTAAGTATTTCCTATCCTCCCCGCTTCCCCCTCTCGACAAAATCGATCAAACATATACATATACCCATAAATATATCTATATATATAAATCTCCCCCAACCAGCCAAGTAACCATGCCACCAACCAACTAACCCCAACACCCCCCCTTAAAATCTAGCTCACGAAAATGATCCTCGGCGCTATCGACTCCTCCTATGACACCAAGGATGAGAAATCTGGCCGGCCCTCCGCTGGCGGCCACCGTCCTCCACCCTCACAGACCCAATACGGTGCCCCGCCACCACAGGGACAACAGCCACAGTACGGCGGATACCCGGGAGCCGGAGGAGCGCCCCCACAGCAAGGCGGTTATGGCGGCTATGGGCAGCCGCCACCGCAGCAGGGAGGTTATGGCCAGCAGCCGCCTCAGCAGGGCGGCTACGGTCATCCCCCGCAAGGCGGTCAAGGGGGTTATCCACCGCGATATTAGGACCTAGAGCGGTCCTAGTAGAGGGAGACAGGACAGTTCTATGTAGTTTGGTAGGGGCGTGTTCGGGGGAGGAGCAGTTTCGAAAAAGAAAAAGGATTGAGAAAAAGCTCCCCCTCGTGTTGCTTTTGTTTGATTAATATGTAACTGATTTTTTTCGGTTTTTTTTCGGTTTTTTTTTTTTTTTTTTTTTTTTTTTTTTTTCCTGTGTTTAATAATGCAATGACTTATTGACATATGGGTTAAATTGGTCTTCGTTATATCGATCTGCCTCCCTACTTATGCATTCTAACTTATCCATCCATGTCTCTCTTTCTCTTTTTTTGTTTTTGTTTTTTTCCTTTAAAAAAATATCCCTCTGCAAAACTATTTCTCCAGGTTTGACATACAGACAGCCCAATCAATCAATCAATGCAAGGTTATATATAATAACTTCACTGATCAGCAATAACTAACTAGTTATATTAAATATGCAGTCCAACCCACGAGCAGGATTATTTATTTATATAACCTCACCTTTAGATCTGTCTCAGAAGCTCGAATTCGACCCCCCCCCCTCCTTCCTCCTTTTTTTTTTTTTTTTTGGAGGAACTGACTGACCCATTTACTGATCTGATTAACACTTTATCACAAATGATCCTAACATTTGAGAAACTCTCGTCAGGTAAGTTAAAAACCGTTGACCACACCAGAACAAGTCCTCTGATTTCTTCCCAACAACACCCACCACCAGAAGACAGACCAGACAAATTACGACTAGTAAATACCTCAGAGCAACAAACAGCTTGATGAAATATGGAGCAAGCTTGAAACTTGACATTGAAGCCAGGTCGAAGCCAGGTTGAAAGGTGGGAGTTGGGTTGGTGAAAAGAGAATCGCCGAATATCAGGCAGATTGGACATGCCATCTTTTCATTCTCCCGGGTTTGGCAGTCTCTATTATGTTATAAACAGGATCCCTTCCCTCTGCTCAAAGTCTCGTCGTCTACATGAACGAGGATGGACGCCCCAGATCATCAATCAGTGATTTGTTTTTTGCTATTGGTCCCTCGACTTAGCAGACAGAACAACAGGTGATGGATGGTAGAAAGGAGATCAAAATTTGACAGAGGGCCTTGTGCATACGTGTGTAAATATTGATTTAAGTGGTTGGTGGATGGGGCTAAGATCTCTATATACAGGGGAATGAATACTGTGCAGGAACATGAGATTGCCAGCGGCATGAGAGAAATTGCATGAGCAATTAATTTGTCGCGGCTTCCAGAGTCCTCCAAATTGCACTATATAGTCCCCGGAACTTATCGTTCCTCAAAAGTCTAAGAAACTCGAGGCCGCTCGAGGCTATCTCAAATTCGTCAAGTACCAGCCAGCTTCCCGAAGACCAAGCCCATCCAGAGTTCTCATAAGTATGGCACAGCGACTTCCGTGCTGAGAACATTTTTGTCAACCCAGACGACCCATCGGAGATCCTTAGATTTCATAGATTGGCAATCTACGGAATTAGCTCCTTTATATGATCTATACTGATGAACCGTATGTTATTGATTATGATGGTCCACGCGTTGAAGGGCTCCTGGAACGTCCTAAGCTCGAGGAGGTTCAGAAACTTTTGGCTGAAGCCCTCTTTGTCAAATCCACTTGTCCCATGTGTCTCTCCATAGGCATCTGATCCCCCTGGCAAACAAGAAGCTACTCCTGGTGCTCGGATTTTCAGCAGACAGCCAGGTTCCGGCCCTCCCTATTTGCACGGAATCTCCTGGTTGATGGTGAAGCAACTTACCTTGCTCTACTTGCGGAGCAGCAGAGGGACTAGAAAGAGCTTTCCCCGCGTGCGAGCCGAGGGTAGCCCAGAATGTCCACTTCGGTTTTCAGCGGATGAATTAACTGTCATTGAAGTTGATAGCGAGGGGGCTGCGCCTGGTATCAGTTTGATGCCAGGATCTCCAGGACAGGGTCAGCCGGCAGTTCTCTCGGGCGTAGGGACTTGTCGATCATGGGAGTATGTGAGGCCATTTGAAGTGAAACAAACATATTTCACCAGCTTTCTCGTTCAATCCATGGGAGTATGTATGGTCTGCTTGTACAGCTGTCAATTGAACTACTCGTTATGTCTCCATACATCCATCCATGTAGGGGAAAAAAAAAAAAAAAAAAAAAAAAAAAAAAAAAAAAAAAAAAAAAAAAAAAAACCCGGGCCATGCCATATGTGTTGTTTCCGGCCGAAAATTGAAAATCCCGTTCAAACCATATTCCCCCCACCTTCAATCCTGTAGCGATGAAACCCTGATACATAAAATCAAAGCGCCTCGGGCTCATATCCCGCATAATCCTCCTTCCGTAGAACTCGCGCCCCTATTTCCTCCAAATCCTCGGCCCATAAGGGATCCTTGGTGATGCCATTCAGGCATTGGTCGATCATGGCAGCGGCAAGCTCTGACAGGTGAACCCAGGCGGCGTGCCCGAACTGTTTGAAAATGCTTGTGGCGGCGAGGGTCCTGGGGCGGCTAGGGCCTTCTACGCCCGCGGGCTTAGTGACAGTAGCTTGTACGGCGGGTTCATGTTGCTTGGCGAAATCCAGGATTGCGTTCTCGATGCGGCCCTGCTTGTCGCGTCAATCGAGTTCACAGAGAAGGAGGATGGGAGGAAGGAGGAGGAAGATGTAGGAGGAGAGTTTGGAACCCACACGCATGAGGCGGTAGTCAGACAGAAACCAGAGGGTCTTGGTCTGATCGCGCTCCACTGAGACGCCAGATATGTAGATGAAGCGGAAGGGATTGTTGGCGACAGAGGCGATGTTATGGAGACCGTTGATGGTGAAGTCGGAGCAGATCCTGGTGACATCTGCAAAGTCCATCTCTAGGGACTTGGTCGGGGTAACTGCCAGACACCTACCAAGAACATGGCTGTGAGAACTGCATGTACTGTATATATATGCCTAATCGTATGGGGCTACGAACCATATGCACGCATCGGCGCCTTTGAGTTTCTCCTTCACAGACTCGGGATACGGCGCTGTCCAGTCGTCGAGGATAACAGATTGCAGCTTGGACTTGTCCGCGTCCGGACCAACGTGCTCAGGAACCTGAACAGGCCGGCGAGCAAGTGCCACGACGGAGCTAACGGCTTTGTTGCGAAGAGCAAGCCGAATGACTTCCGTGCCAACGTACCCGGTGGCTCCCGTCACTATCAATTTCATCTTCGGATTCAGACCTGGAGGGGGGCGGTTTTCGCGAATTATGAACACTGGCAAGTGATGAAATCGACCAAACAATGAGAATGTACGAGTTTATTTACTCTGTTTTTCTTGCGTCTACATCACAGCGGGGGGAAGTTGATGGGTATATAATGCCTGGCAGGCGTTGATCCCTTTTTCGGCAACTTCTTGCGATGACAGGCCCTGAATTGTTTCCGAGGGTTTCCTATTTCTTGGACCCATACTGATCGTAGACCTCTCTCTGTCACCTGGGATAGTTGTGCATAGTTTCATGTATGTACATACGTAGAGAGTACATGTACGGTAGTTTAGCAACCGCTGGAGGGGGGAGAGCCTGGGCATATTCCTCCCAGGTGGTTATCTTCATTTTCAACGGATGAGGCGCAAAAAGTCACTGCCAAACACAAGAAAATGCCCAGCCAATCTGGGTTTGGCCCCTGGTTGGCAATAATTCATCCCTAGAGATGTAGGCTTAGGGTGGTTAGGTTAGGGGCGTTTCGCCTAAAGCTTAGTGAAGCCAAGCTCGGTGTTCAAGCCCACCGGTGTCGAGGGCCCAGAATCATTCGATCGCTGGTAGTGAGAGTTCCTTGGTATATATCTCTCGTGTCTGCAGAGGGTTCTATGTCCCCCGCCTTCGTTCTATGTTCACTTTTCAGGATGCGGTGTCACATTAGCTTTGAGACAGACACATGGTGGCGGCATGCAACACACATTGGCGCTGCTGAGCCAGGGTCGACAGGGCTCTCTTGTTCCTTGTTGCAACGCTATCTGGCCCAGACTCGACGAGGATGCTGTATGCATGCCTTGGATGCGTCGAAAATCCATTTGCGAGCCCCATGGTATTGGATGCAGGCCGGCGACTTACCACACAAGACCATCCTCTCGCACCCCCAACTCCTATGTTGATTCTCTTGGATGGAGTTTCGGCCTTCCGTGGAAACTGAGGCAGAGTTTCCAAGCAGTATTCTGAAAAAAAAAGAAAGCTCCGCCACAAGAGTCGACGATGGATGTATTCTGTACAGTACATGTATGTTGTGAAGGGCACTCTTCAGTGTTGAGCAGATGGAGATAAAAATTATGATAAACCGCAGGACAACTGGGTAAATTACTCTTTGTTAGGATCTGGGAGCGAAAGCCATGAATGAAATAGTTGGTTGGTATAACATTTGATCAAGAAAGAGAGGAATATCTCCTACCAACATATCTAGGGTACAGAACATGTACGCTGCTGCGTATGTAACTCGACATGGAACCGTGCTTCTAAATATTCGTCTCCCGTTCATAGAACCTGACATCCTCCTGCCCCTTCGTGATGATGTATTTGCGCAGCACTGCAAATGTGCCTGTATCTTGTCCAATTCTTATGCAGCGCTGGCCAGAAAGAAACGTTTGTCGTTTTCGCCCGTGGCCAAAGTCTGATCGATAACAACCCGCCCGGTTGCAAGGCTAAACCTAACAACTCTCGGCCAACGCTTAGATTTAGACAATCAAAAAAGAATAGCACTTGCGTAATCGACTTTCCAGGGTTGGTCCGGACTCTTTCTTCCTCCTCTTATCTTTTCTGCTCTGCTGCAACGCATCCTCGCGAACCACCGCGCCCACTGCCCACTGCCCACTGCCCACTGCTGGCTGCTGATTCTGGCGAGCTGTGTTTCATGTTGCCATCCTGATATTAGCAATCGATGCGCCGTTGGGAATAACCTCAAATTAGGTTGTGCGGCCTGCTGCTGATTCGTCACCCACAGCCCGCCGCTGCTTGGACCGCTCCCCAGCGTGGCCTTGCACCGTGGATTCTCTTCCCTATACATCCACATTTATTTACACATCTACGAGGGCAACAGGGAGGGGTTCCAGTAGACCTCCCCTCTTCTTTGCTCTGTTTTCTTCTTTTGCATTGTACTGTACATCTTGGGTTTATCGCCCTCTGCTCCGCCAACGCTACCGGCAAGTCGCTCGTCGATCCAACCCACGTTTTCCCCGCCGGCCTCTCGCTCGGTTTCCCCAATGCGCTCCATCCAACACTGAGCAGTGGCGTCTCGAGCGTCTCGACTTCTCCCCGTCTTTCTTCACCCAATTCTGTCCTTGTGTTTGCCTGTGATATACCCAGTTTATCATTCATCTATTGTCGGCCTCCCTATTTTCTGTTTTTCGTCCAATCCGCTAATCTGCCATATAGGACGTCCGGTACTGGTCTCGGATAGCCGTACTGCCGAATATATATATAACCAGGTGTACACGGGTATATACCTAGGTCAAAGTCTCCGGGAGGAGAATTTTGCCACAGGAGGAAGGAGCCAGAGTTTCCACAAGGCTGAGCGTCGACCCAATGGCGGGGCGCGATGATGGAAATAGCCCCGGACCTGGACAGTTGAGCTCTCCTCGACTTTCGCGCCGTGTGCCATCGAGGTCGCCGCTGAGAGACAGTATTTTGAGTGATGATGGTTCTCCTCCTGAGGAGGACGAGACGGTCCTGCTTCGGGGTGTTGGGGCGCGGAATAATACAGATGCGCGGGGAAGAAGGGAAGTGGGACAGGAAACAGATGGGGTTACGGACACAGGTTTAGGTGCTAACACCCCAGCTCGCGCCTCTCTCCGGGATATCAGAGATATCAGAAGGGCACCCTCATTGCCAAGCCTAGCGACGGCGGCAATGCCACAGCAGAGACAGGCTCAGGCTCGAGTGCGCTTTTCAACGGATCTCGAACGCACGGCGGGTACCACTTTTCAGAGTCTGCGCTGGGAAGTGCATGACGGCGCTGCAAGGGAGGGTGGCGGTGGCGGGCGCGGGCGTGCTCCCGGGCTAGGACTTACTGTAGACACCTCCTCGCCGAGTGTCGTTTCGAATTTAAGAAGTCCAACACTGCGGAGTGGCGGTCAACGCATATCTCCCGTCTCTCCCGCGGACCCTGTTCCGCCGCTGCGCGAATCTCCTCCCGTCTTGCCCAAGACGCGGGATCGAGGTTATTCTCTACGACGGTCGATTTTTAACCGGAACATTGCCAACCAATCAGATCAAGACCGGACGAATAGCATCGAATTAGGTCACCGTCTATCGGCGGATGGTGAGGCTCTGTCTAGGGTCCATTCGCAGGGTCAGGAAGCTGTGGCTCAGAGTAGCTCGAGGGATGAAGAATCTACCACGTTCTCGGACCTGAAGGCCCAAATAAGAGGGTGGAAGCCTTACTTGACATTGGACCGATGGAAAGACTTTACAACTGCTTTCCGAAAACAAGTGCTTCGCATCAAAGAAATCCCGCCGAGTAAGGATGGTCGACATATCGACCTTGATGTCCAGAGACAACATCCCTTGATTGACGAACGGACGGGCAAACACTACATCAGCAACCGCATCCGATCAAGTCGATATAGTCTATGGAGCTTCTTCCCCCGCCAACTCGTAGCGCAATTTTCCAAGCTTGCGAATTTCTATTTCCTTGTTCTTTCCATTTTGCAAATGATACCCGGCCTCAGTACCACTGGAACTTTCACCACTTTTGTTCCCCTGATGATTTTTGTTGGTATATCCATGGCGAAGGAAGGTTTCGATGATCTCCGTCGTTACCGATTGGATAAGGAGGAGAACAACCGGATCGCATATATTTTGCGGCCCTGTGGCCCGCTCGCAAATGCTGCTACTACCATTTCCACTACTTCTACGGAATCCCCGGAATCCAAGGTAACGGCCACAGTTACTGATTCAGAATCCAATCTTTCAGACTACTGGGTGACTACCAAATGGGTAGATATCGAGGTGGGCAACGTCATCAAGCTATCCCGCGACCAACCGGCGCCGGCAGATCTCGTTCTCCTCCACGCAGACGGCCCGACTGGCATCGCGTATATAGAAACCATGGCGCTGGATGGCGAGACAAATCTGAAAAGCAAACAACCCTGTCGCGCCGTCGCCAAAGCCTGCAAAACGGCCGACAACATCATGCACATCACATCAATTCACTTTGCTGTCGAAGACCCCAACACTGACCTCTACAAATTCGATGGCAACGTCACAGTTGACGGGAAGAAACTACCCATCACCAATTCAGAAGTCATCTATCGCGGCAGCATTCTGCGGAATACCCATGAAGCATTCGGCATGGTTATCTATACCGGGGAGGAGTGCAAGATACGTATGAACGCGAACAAGAACCCACGCATCAAGGCGCCGGCCCTACAGGCCGTGGTCAACCGCGTCGTCGCTGTCATTGTCCTCTTTGTCATCGTGCTCGCGTCCGCGTGCACGATTGCGTATACGTTCTGGTCGCGCAACGTGGAGGATGCATCGTGGTATTTGCAGTACGCGGATGTCTCGATCGGGCCTATTTTCACATCTTTCATCATTATGTTCAACACCATGATTCCCATCTCGCTGTACGTCAGTTTGGAGATTGTGAAGGTTGCGCAGATGCTTTTGCTGAACGATATTGATATGTATGATGCGGAGTCGGATACGCCGTTGGAAGCCAGGACGTCGACGATCAATGAGGAGTTGGGGCAAGTTAGGTATGGATATCGCTCACTCTCCTTGTCTCTAGTGCTTTTTCTCTATTCTCCTCCCCTCCTCTTCCCCGTGCAATTCCTCTCGGCATATTCATAAACAAACGAAATAACTATTAATACGGAACTACAGCTACATATTCTCGGATAAAACCGGCACGTTGACAAATAATAGCATGAAGTTCCGCAAAATGAGCGTTGCAGGGACGGCATGGTTACACGATACTGATTTACAAGAGGAAGCGGCCCGCGAGGCAGATCGCAAAATGCTCCTGCATAAGAAACGCAAGGATAAGAAGGCTCCATCGCGGAAATCGGCCACATTTGACCAATTCGCATTGGCGCGGAAATCCGGCGTGTCAAGTCACATGAACGACGAGATCTCAACACCACTGACGACGACGCGTTGGCGGTCGAATAGAAAACATAGAATGCATCATGGTGGCCGCACTGTGGAGATGTTGAAATACATACAGCAGAAACCGCATACGCTGTTCGCGCGCAAGGCGAAATTCTTCATCCTCGCCCTCACCCTGTGCCACACCTGCTTACCGGAGCGTGACGGCGATGGTGATATTTCGTTCCAAGCTGCGTCCCCGGATGAGGCTGCGCTGGTTACTGCTGCTAAGGAAATGGGATATCTGGTGGTGGACAGACAACCCAGCTCGCTTACCATCCGACTGTCAACGGCCAGGCGGGACGGTGATGGCGACGGCGACGATGGAGAGCCAATCGAAAAAGAGGAGGTCTATGAAATTCTAGATGTCATTGAATTCTCCAGCGCGCGCAAACGCATGTCGATCATCGTGCGCATGCCCGACAAGCGAATCTGCCTCTTCTGCAAAGGTGCCGATTCGATCGTCATGGGCCTCCTGAAACGATCCGGGCTCGCGGCGGAGAAGGTTGCCGAGATCGAGAGCCGCGCCAATAAGCGTAAATCTCTCGAGGCGAAAGAAGTCATGAGACGCAACAGCGAGCATGCAAATCGCAAGGATGGCAAGCGGACGAGCCTAAGTATTGGCCGTCCTAGCTTCGTGGGCACGCGCCGCTCGAGTGTTTCTGGCAAACGCCGCTCGTCGCTGCGGGATAGCATCGATGTCTGGCTCCGGGAGAGGGAGACGGATGGCGGTCTGGAGTTGAGGGATGGCGATGATGCTGGCTACTATTACAGCCCACGCCCGTCGATGCAGTTCTCCCCGCGGCCCTCCGGGGCGCTCTCGGAGGAACTACACCGCTCCTCTTTCCAGACGGATGATGGCGCGGAAGATTTGGTCGAGGAGTCGTTGGTGGTACAAGTGAGGCGATGGTGTTTGAGCGATGTTTCCAGCACTTGAATGACTTTGCGACCGAAGGCTGCGGACACTATGTATGACTATCGATTCCTTGACGAGGGAGATTATCAGGAGTGGAAGGCTAGGTATCAGGAGGCGACGACGAGTTTGGTGGGGCGGCAGGAGAAGATTGAAAATGTGGGCGAACAAATTGAGAGGCAGCTAGAATTGGCCGGGGCTACTGCTATTGAGGATAAGTTGCAGAAGGGCGTGCCAGAAGCCATTGATAAGCTGCGCCGGGCTAATATTAAGCTCTGGATGCTTACGGGGGATAAGCGGGAAACGGCGATTAATATTGGCCATTCGTGTCGGCTGGTGAAGGATTATTCGACTGTGACTATTTTGGATCATGATGCTGGAGATGTCAAGCAGGTTATTTTGGAGACGACGAGTGAGATTGAGAGGGGCGCTTGTGCTCATTCTGTGGTTGTGGTGGATGGGCAAACGCTATCGACGATTGAAGGGGATCCACCGCTCCAGGAACGCTTTTTTGACCTTGCCATCTTAGCGGACTCTGTCATTTGTTGTCGTGCAAACCCCAAGCAGAAGGCGTTCCTCGTGCGGTCAATACGGAAAAGGGTAAAGAAATCCATTACGCTTGCCATCGGGGACGGTGCGAATGATATCGCTATGATTCAGGAAGCGCATGTAGGGATTGGCATTACTGGCAAGGAGGGCCTACAAGCTGCCAGGATATCAGACTACTCCATCGCGCAGTTTCGGTTCCTACTCAAACTCCTCCTCGTCCACGGTCGCTGGAACTACATCCGCGTCTGCAAGTACACGCTGGGAACCTTCTGGAAGGAAACCGTCTTCTACCTCACGCAGGCTCTCTACCAGCGTTGGAACGGCTACACAGGAACCAGTCTTTACGAATCATGGTCTCTAAGCATGTTCAACACTTTCTTCACCTCCCTCCCAGTTATCTTCCTTGGAATCTTCGAAAAGGACCTCGCAGCCTCCACCCTGCTCGCAGTCCCCGAACTCTACACCAAGGGCCAACGCAACGGCAGTTTTAACATCAAACTCTATCTTGGCTGGGCCTTCATGGGAAGCTGCGAAGCCGTGATTATCTATTTCACCATGTACGGCCTCTTCGGCAACGCCATCTTCACCCTCGACAACGGCGTCTTCGCTATGGGCCTGCTGACCTACACTGTCTGCGTCCTCATCATCAACCTGAAGCTCCAATTACTTGAGATCCGCTACCGGACCATCATGGCCGTCATCGCCATCATCGCGTCCGTTGGCGGCTGGTTCCTCTGGAATATAATTCTCTCCCGCCGCTACGAAACAAACGCCATCTACAACGTCCGCGACAACTTCTTGCCCCGCACAGGCCGCAATTTGCTCTGGTGGGTTACCATCTTCCTCGCCGTGGTTGCGGTGGTTCTCTTCGAGCTATCCGTAGCGGCGCTACGCGTCGCGCTGTTCCCGACCGACGTGGATCATTTCCAAGAGTATGAGGGCGATCTGGAGATTCGGAAGCGGTTTGAGGAGGCGGCGGCGTCGGAGTTGCAGCAGGGTTGGGATCGGGGGGGAAAGAAGTCGAGTTTGGAGATTCTTGCGGGGTTGGAGAGCGAGGCTGCGGACAGGGAGGCGGAGAGGGAGAGGGAGAGGGAGTTGCAGATGCAGGAGTTGTTGGATCGGAGGACCTCTCAGGGACAGGGCAAAGAGAAGGGTGAAGACGGTTCTCATGTGCGGACGGAGGAGGTGGAGTCGGGGAATAGTCAGCCCGTCGCAAATGGAGCTGCGGCGGCCGGAAAGAGTGCAGATGTTCCAAGTTACTCGCGTCGCTCGTTGGATGTTCATGAGTTACTCAATAAGGGGTTCGGTGCCATTCGCAAGGGGCATTTATAAATGAGTCACCCTCCCGCCCTCTACCTCCTGACTTCTATCCTCGTCGTTGATTTATCCGTCGCATTTCTCTCTTCTTCCATTTTGCTGTTTTGTTTCGTTCCTGTTTTGATTCATGCTTGGGCCAAATTTTGAAGTTTTCCAACAAAGCACCCCACAACTCAGCGGTTACTCTTTTCCCGCCTTCCCTTCTCTATCCCCCCCCCCCCTCTTTCTTTTTTTTTTGTCTTTTTGGAGATGCACTTTCCGTGGCATTCGGGTCGCATGTGGTGTGGTGTTCTAGGGTTGTATCTATATATACGTTTGATGATTCACCTTCCCCTATGCCATTGATGTTTTAATGCTTTTTCATGTTTTATTTAGATCGACTGACTGGCTGATTGACTGATGGAGAAAATAGACCTTTGTTTTTTAATTTTCATGCACTTCCTTGTTGTTGTTTGGTTTTTTTTTTTTTTCTTTTTTTTCATGTTTTTCATCCTTTTTTGGCCATGTTAACATTCCCTCCAACTTCAACCTATCCCCGCTTCCTTTCAATTTGGTGGTCGTTCAGTCGCTCCAATCTCCCGCTGTGGTTATTTGACTCTTTCTTTGAGTGTATAATCATCTTTCGTTTTTGCAGATTACTTGGACTCAGAGCCATGTATGAGGATATGATACCATATATATAAATATTGTTATATATCACCGTTGGAATTGAATTGATGAGATGTTGCTTCATACATTCATTCACCCTGCTTACTCAGTTCCGTATCATGCGGGCTAAATCAGGCATTTGTTTTGAAAATAATAGCAAGGAATCCTGGCATTGATAGATATCCAGTGGAAAGGATCAAGGTATCCACGGAAAAGTAACGAGCGTTGTCATCGTCTAGATAGAGAGGAAAAGAAAAGAAGGAAAAGGAGGGAGCGAAACATCGAAAACAAAACGGTCATCGTGACATAACTCAACCGGGAGGGATATCTCGTATAAAACCAACAGAATCCCATACCCGTCCATCCCACACGATAAGCTAACCTCCTCATCCGCTCACCATCAGACCACAAAGTAAAAACCCGACCCCAGCTCAACCCCCCCCCCCCCCCCCTCCCACCACGTTCACTCCTCACCAAGCTTCTACCTCCCGCGGCTCCCCATCAACCACATCGTCCTTCCCTTCCACAATTCCTGCAGCAATGCCCCTCGCAACACTCCCCAGCTCATTCCGACACCGGATACAATCCATCCAAAAACTCTCGCTCCTCAGATGCACCTTACGCCGACTGCATGGGTGATTGAAATATCTGGGCTTGGGAATCTCGGCGTCGGTGTCGCCGAGCATGAAAGTGGCGTAAGGACTATGAAGGGTTGTGGGGGAATCTTCCTCCGCGGAGTCGTTGCGGAGAAAGGGGAGGAGGGGTCGACAGAGAGGAGGGATGTGATCTTCTTCTGGAGGCTGATGGGTGTCCCCCGGAGTTCTTCGGGCTGGGTGTGGGTATATACTTTTGGTGGGAATCCATGGATAGGGCCCATTGTTCGATTGGGGGCACGTCAAGTTTCGGTGTTAACTCTTCTGCTAGGGGCTCCTTTGTCATCCCCTTTTTGCCCTCCTGGGCCTTCCCTTTCTTCTTGCCCTTAAGGGAATTTGGCTGGTTTCGGTCCCGGTTCCCGGTTCCGGTTCCGGGTTCCCGTTCAGGTTTCAGTTCAGGTACTGGGTTCTGGTAATAGGTTCTGGGTTCCACCAGATCTCCACTGGATGGGAGCTCCCCCGCTGTTTTTGCCCTCCCTTGTT